CCTTGGCCTTTCAAAATGCTGAGATTATAGGCATTTGCCACTGTGCCCATCCACCACATGGATGGGTTTTTGTTTTTGCCTCAAACAGTTTTCTAAAGGGAAATAATTCTGCTCTTAATAACCCACTGGTTAGTAAAACAGCTGTCAGTGTCCAAATTATTAGCACTATCTTAGGGAAAAAAAACACCAACCAGGCCTAGCATAATGGCTGGTGTCTGTAATCCCAGCACTTTGGGAAGCTGAGGTAGCAGGATTGCTTATGCCTAGGAGTTCAGGGCAGTAGTGAGCTGTGATCATGCCACTGCACTCCACCCTGGGCAACAGAGAGACATCCTGTCTCTAAAAAAAAATAAATAGACCTATAGGTTCTATCATTTTAAAAAATACAGAATCCACCAGGTGCAGTGGCTCACTCTTGTAATCTCAGCACTTTGGGAGGCCAAGGCAGGAGGATCACAAGGTCAAGAGATGGAAGTCATCCTGGTCAACATGATGAAAACCTGTCTCTACTAAAAATATAAAAATTAACTGGTTATAGTGGCACATGCCTGTAGTCCCAGCTACTTGGGAGGCTGAGGCAGGAGAATCACTTAAACCTGGGAGGCGGAGGTTGTGGTGAGCCAAGATCACACCACTGCATTCAAGCCTGGCGACAGAGTGAGACTCTGTCTCAAAAGAAAATTAAATAAATAAATAAAATACAGAATCCATGTATGAGGATATCAAAGATTTATTTAAAAGTTTTCAGATACAATATATTATGGTTGTTTTTAAAACTCTTGTCTTTTAATGATACATACCAAAATATTTCTGGATTAGGTTGTATGATAGGCCACGTGTGGAAGCTCACATTTGTAATCCCAGCATTTTGGGAGGCCAAGGTGGGAGGAATGCTTGAGGTCTGGAGTTCAAGAACAGCCTAGGCAACAAAGCAAGACTCCCATCACTTTAAAAAAATGATTAAATTAAGTTGAAATTTAAAAATTAAGAAACAAATTGTATGATGCATGGGCCTTGCTTCAAAATAATACGGAATGGAGAAAATGGGGGGAATATAGATAAAATAAAAATGACCAGGAGTTGATAATTATTGCAATTATTGACCATGAGTTGATATTATGTGTACATAAAGTATCATTACACTATTCTGTTTTTATCTATGTTGACACTTTCTATGATATAATACAAAGTTAAATAAGATATAGCCAGAATCATGAGCACTTCCCACAATCTCCACACTTACTTCTATGGTACAAGTCACCCTTTCTCACCTGCATTGTAGCAGTAGTTTCCCTAAATGGTTACATTTCTTCTACCCTTGCCCCTTTATAATCTATCCTCACAGGGCAGCAGAGTGACCATACTAAAATATAAATTGAGATCACTCCTCTACTCAAAACCCTCCAAGGGCTGCCATTTTATGCTAAGTGAAAACCAAAGTCCTTGCAATGGCCTCCAAGGTGCTGTGATCTATACCAGTATCCCCCTCAAACATCATCTATCCTTGCCCCTCACTCAATGATTTTGTTTCACCTGTACCAGAATCCCTGATGCTCCTGAAGCACCAGGAATTCATTTGCCTTAATGCCTTTGCACATTCTGTTCCCTCTGCCTAGAACACATTTCACTAATATTTTGTATACTGTTCCCTCCCTCACTTCTTTTGGGTGTATTTTCTTTTCTTTTTTTTTTTTTTTTTTTTGGAGATGGAGTATTGGAGTATCACTCTGTCACCCAGGCTGGATGCAATGGTGTGATCTCAGCTCACTGCAACCTCTGCCTCCCGGGTTCAAGCAATTCTCCTGCCTCAGCCTCCCAAGTAGCTGGGATTACAGGCATGTGCCACGACACCTGGCTCAGGTCTATTTTCATATGACACATTATCAGTGAAGCCTTTCCTTGACCACCCTACACAAATTAGCAACACTCCACCATCATGACCTTTCCCTCGTTTATTTTTTCTTTCTCGCCCTCATTCAAGCTGGGGTGCCATGGCACAATCACAGCTCACTGCAGCCTTGACAGCCTGCTCAAGAGATCATTTCACCTCAGCCTCCTGAGTAGCTGGGACTACAGGTGTGCACTAGCATGCCAACTAATTTTTGTATTTTGTAGAGAAGGAATTTTACCATGTTGACCAGGCTGGTCTTGAACTCCTGGGCTCAAGCAATCTGCTCACCTCGGCCTCCAAAAATGCTGGGATTACAGGTGTGAGCCACCATGCCTGCCCTTATTTTCTTCATTGTAATTATCACCACTTGATGTACTGTACATTTCTTTATTTTCTACCCCTCCCATGCTATGATGTAAATTCCACAAAAGTACTTTTTACTACTTTTTGTTCACTGCTATAGTTCCAGTGACTAAAACACCACCTGGCAAGTAACAGGTAACTGACAAACAAATGAAGACAAGCACTGAGATCCTAATTTAACAAATGAGGAAACCGAGATGAAAGCAGGTTAAATAACTTGCAAAGGATTATAGGTACTTTGGCCTAAAGTCTTTGTACTCTTCATTCACTTTGCCCAAAATATATCCATGTTCAAAGCTGTGTCTTAATCTTTGCCTTGCCTCAAAATCTATACATTGTACCTCAGGAGCTGAAAGTACTTCACAGAATTACAATAAAGATTAAGTATTTAAGTATAAATATGAGCATCAGTAAACTTTGTAGAGTGTTAGGCCTCATACGGTTGTTAATTCTTGTGGGTTCATCTCTAAGATCAAAGTCAGACTGTTTCTCCAAGCTTATTTTGACCTAAATGTGAAAATGCAACCATTTTATGGCTGGAGTAAATTCCAAGCATTAAAATACAGATAAGAAGTCTTATATTATTAACATGTGGTTTCTTGCCAGCAATGGAAATAAGATATTTCAGTTCCTGAAATGTACTACAGGTCTTGAAATATTCAGATGTGAGCACCTGGCCGAAAGTACACCCATGTGATTGTGGTTTAACTATAGCTCCAGTTTCACCTCTCAGTTGCAGATATGTTTTGAGGCATATAGGTAGTATATATCAGTTATAATCTGCCAGTTAGCAGGCATGGAATAATTGAATCAATTAGTAATAGTGATCCTCAAGGTCAGGAGTTTGAGACCAGTCTGGCCAACATAGTGAAACCCCGTCTCCACTAAAAATACAAAAAATTAGCTGGGCATGTTAGGTAGCACACACCTGTCATCCCAGCTACTCGGGAGGCTGAGGCAGGACAATTGCTTGAACCCAGGAGGCAGAGGTTGCAGTGAGCCGAGATCGCACCACTACACTCCAGCCCAGGCGACAGTGCAAGACTTCATCCTATAATAATAACAATAATAGTGATCCTCAATGTTTTTCAAAATACTGATTTCCAATTTGCCAAAAAATTGTGTATCTGTAGAATTACACTGTCCGTGTGAGAAGCACAGTGATCTAAACATTTTGATATTTTAGGAATAGACTGTATTTGTGCTTTTCTTCAGTGATCTGTAATGATTTTTATATGAATGAGCATTTTAAAATTCTATGCAAGTTTGCAATTTGTTCCATTTAACTAGTGGAAAAACCAATGTACAAGGTGAACTAACTTGTCCAAATTCCCTTAGTGGCAAAAACAAAACAGAATGAAAAAACAAGTTTTAAGATTTTTCTACAGCTAGTGGCATTTGCCTGCCAGTCTTTGCTGCTATGACTTACAAGATCATATGAGAATGATATAAAATTGCCACTATCTGGCGGTTTTTGACCTATAAGAACACAAATTCCATGTGGTTCAAACAGCAACAACAAAAAAACCCACAACGTGCATATTTAGAACAGAAATTTCTGCAAACACATCCTTTTAGTGAAGGTGCTAAAACAGCAAAATTAAGAGCCTCATACCAACTGCAGATAAGCTGCCATAGGACAATAACATAAAATTATAGCAAATGATTTTCAAAGCCCAATACTTTATAAATATTAACTAATAATGGCAGAAAGTGTTACAGATTGCCCATGTTCAATTAACTAAAGAATACTACGCAGAGAGCCCAAGGTCAAAGGTTTGACCCCTTTGTCATCATGTTAGCTCTATCATGTTCCATGACCTACTATACTCAATCAAGGACATTCATCTCTGAAATGCATGCTCAAGACAGAGTGTGAGAGGCAAGGATTGGGGTGGAAATGAATTTCAAGAAAAGGTGCAAATCTATGACTTCTGCAGTGGCGATGGGGGCATCTAAAAGATTCTTGTGCCCATCCTATGGTGTATGTCAATAAATGGTGAATAAATGAATGGGTGAAGGAATGAATGTCCTACTAGTGATGAGAAGTCTCATTAATAATTACGTAAAAAATCTCAAGTGATATCATATAATGTGTTTTAGCTGGAAGGGACCTTGAAGCTATCTAATCTAGTGTCCATATTTTGTAGTTGGGAAAAATAAAGTTTGAAGTGATTAATCCAACATCATTCTGACTGGGACTAGAATTTATGGCTTCTCAATGTCAGAACTGGCACTAGAATTTGTGATTCCTAGTTTTCAGTGTAATACTCCTTCCAATATATATGATAGGATAAAGGATCTTTCTCACCAATAGATATAATTAGCATATAATTTTCACATCCTGAATATAGCAGAGTAGTCTCTTTTAGTGTTTTTCATCGGAGGAGGCCTTAAGGATTATCTAAACTAGCCCCTTGTTTTATAAAAGAAAAAACCATAGTGCAATTATGTTAAATGACTTGTCCCAAGTTGGCCAATTAGAAAATCAACATTTAAACTCAGGTCTCCAGATCCCCTAGATCCCCCAGATCCAGGGCACACTTGGCACCATGCTGAAAGCCATTAGTACACTTAAAGTTTGCTTTTTACGTACTTTGATGGCATATGATTCTCCGAATGTGGGCAAGAGGAAATGTTTATTTATATACAAGTACATGAGAAAGCAATTTCCATTTAGCTTTTTTAAAAAAATTGTTACAAATAAAAAGTTTTTAATACATTCATCCTTTGCACACAAAATACATTCTTTTACTTTCAGTATGAATTATTCCTTAATAATAAAAACATAAGCTACAATGAATGGGCAGTCATGTGGTTTGGCGATCTGACAAACTTTTTTCAACAAGTAAAGTCCAAACTTTAAAAGACAGACAATATATAAAATAACTTACATATTTAAAATGCTACTTCATTGAATCCTAAAAGATTTAATGAGTACTCTTCTCCAGCATGATTTGTAGTTGTCCTTTACAATGCAGAGGACAAGAAATCCTCCGTGTGATGACAATTTCTGCAAGACTAAAATAGTCTTCATGACAATGATTATCATGTCTAAATGACAGGCTTATAGAAAAATTCTTATGGATATATTGGGGAGTTAGTCTTTATTCAGGGGTCTCCTAATTGATCAATTAAACCAAGATCATAAGTTGCACTCTCCAAATAGAATTGCAAGAGATTCTACTTAAATAAACATAAATGATTTGATTTGTTGGACTAATTGTTTTTAAGAGAGATGTGAAAACATAACCCATGCAAAAATCTTTTACATAAATGTTTATAGCAGCATTATTATAATTAAAACGTGGAAACAACCCAAATGTCCAGCAAATGATAAATGGACAAATAAAATGTGGCATATACATACAATGAAATATTATTTAACCATGAAAACAATGTACTGATTTATGCTACAACATGGATGAGCCTTGAAAACATTATGCTTATTTAGAGAAGCCAGACACAAAAGGCCACAATATTGTTTGACTATATGAAATGTCCAGGATAGGCAAATTTATAGAGACAGAAAGTAGATTCGTGGTTGCAAGATGCTGGGGGAAGGAGGAGAAGGAGTGATTGCAAATGGTATGGGGTTTCTTTTGGAGGTGATGAAAATGTTCTGAAGTTAGGCAGTGGTGATGTTGCACAACTTAGTGAATATGATTAAAAACATTGAAGTTTACACTTTAATAGGGTGAACTGTATGGCGCACCAATTGTATCTTAATTTTAAAAAGAGATGCAACTTCGTTTAAGAATATTTTGTTAAAGTTTCTGTTCCTTCCTCACTTCCGTTTTTTAATGTTGATTGAATTTTTCATACAATCATCTTTCTATAGAACGTTTTCAGCTAATTGGACTCAGGTCATCAGTGGGTTATATTTCTAATAGACTTTTTGTTAAGTAAAACAAAATCAGTATATGAACACATAAAATATGATGTAGTATACTGTTAATATTTGCATATTAACATTTAAAATCAAGTACTATTCTTATATTGAAGTTGGTTAAATTTTATATACTGCTGTATACAAATAATACTGATATCCTATGCTTAAAACCAATAGGCAAATATGAAGAATCGAGTTCATAAAACTCAGTAATTAACCTGTTTATTAGTTAAAACTATGTGTTTATTAATATTAAAGATCCATGTTTTAATGGAGTGATAGGAAAGGTGGGGAGATCAAGGATTCTCTAAGTCTTCATAAAGCAGCTTTTCTAAATATTTTAACTAGCTGCTAAGAGCTTCAGAATTATATATTTTGCATTTTATTTCATCTCTATACTAAAATTCATGCATTAAAAGTGTGTACAAGATATATGGGTCACACTTTTTCCCTTCAGATTATCAAAAAACTCTTTTTACTCCTGTATTATCAAAATTTTGAGCAGTTTCTTTTTTCTTTTTTTCTGGAAACAGAAATTTTGCTTATGAGTTAGTTCAAATACATTTATATAGCTCCCTTATGTACTATCAAAGGAGCTCCAACCATCTGGTATGTCTGGAAGACACTTCAGTGAGTAGAAATTAGAAGCCAGCATTTGAAATTTTCTACAACACGGACATGAAAGCGTAAACAGGCTTTAAAGGGATAAGAGGATTTTTTTTTTTTTTTTTAGATTTTTACTGTTCTCTGAAGTGAATGAATTGAACCAAAGGATTTTACATTTTTAAAAAATAATTCAATTAACATTCATTGTCAAATAGCCTACAAGAAAGTTCCACTAGCATTTTGCAATTGTATAGGATAAGAGAGAATTTGTTGCTAATGATTACATTCCAGAAAGCAATATGTTTAGCAGCTGTTTTTCAAAAGACTTGTCAAGTTTTACTATTGTTAATTAATCCAGGCTTAACTGTGTAATTTTAAACAAAAACTGTGCGTTATTCAACCAGTTAGTGACAAATTATCTTAACAAACTAGATTATCTTTTGCTTTTGTGTACATGAATTTTTGCTTTATTAGGTATTTTGTATTCCAATTTTTGTTTTAGAACTTAGTGCACATGTAGAAAAGGGAAGAAACCCTTTTGGATGTTAGTAATTATGGGCATCAAAAAATGTCATATATGAAATTAAAAGCAGATCACAAAACTGAGATTCATGACTCCATTTTTAACGAAGGGGAGGAAACAAGAGCCATACAACCAGAATAATTCTTCAGAAGCACACTTTGTTATCAATTATATAACTAAAGAAAGTGTATGTATATAACTGAAGAGTTAACAATAAGACTATGATCTACATCTGATACCAATAAGAAGCTAAGAGTAATAAATACCTATCCTGACATACACTAAGTAAATAATTATCATTTTAATGAGCTTTTTTTGACTGTTTTTTTTTTTTAATAGGCAAAACAGCAATGATAAATGGCAAATGTGGCTCCTTAAAAAGAAGATAGGGATCCACCCAGTTTTCTTCCCATGAAGAATGGGATCAAGAAGAAAGAGGTTTAAATTGCACTGTGAGGTATTTCAGTTCTAAGATTAAGTTTCCTGATAATGAGTTTACAATCCTGGAATTGCCTTTTGGGAGAGAGACCACCTTTCCTGAAGTATGTAAAGAAATGGAGGGTGACAGTAATGCCCAAAGGCAAAAGGATGGATCAAATTAATGACTTCCTTTTAAGGCACCCTTTCAGAAATGGAGTTCTTTTCTTTGAAGCTAGGAAAGTTTCTTTGTTTTGTCTCTTAAGGATCTCACTTGGCATCAGACCATTCAATGTCTGCTCTTAATTAAGGAGAAAAAGAACTAATATTTGAGTGCTTACTATTTACCAAGCATTGTACTTTCAATTTATCTCATCTAATTTTCGCAACAATCCTGACAGGTCTATCTCATAGATGAAAAAATTGATGCTCAAAATATTGTGCTTTGCCTAAAGTCGCAGCCAATTTGTGGCATACTAGGTCTCCTCACACCTAGTGTTTTCCCTTCCATATCACTCGCCACATCACTCTGAACTGTCAAAGTCACCACCCACCAAAGATTCCATAAGGAACTAGAACACAGCATCTTCAAAAATTCTGCTTTAAATTAATGGGAAAGTAAAATTTTGGCTCATACCTCAAGAAGTCAAAGTGGTGACTAGCTTTTGTGCTCTGACCTCTTGTCCAAAGGAGTCAAAGAAGTCTCACCCAAACACAAACAGATTTCTCACCATACTGATTAAAGACCATGACTTAAAAAAAGAAAAAAAAAAGATCAATGAAAAGCCGTCTATCAGTCTAGCAAGTGTGAAAGTTATTTAGCAATATAAATTGCTTATAGTTATATATATAAGCAATATAAATTGCTTATAGTTACCTCTGATTTTCAAGTCAAAAATACTTGTTTTTATTGCTTTCTACATAAAGCAGTTCTTTTAAACTCATGTATTCTTTTTAAAAAAAATTTTTTTTTCCTCAGCCTATCGATGAGCTAAACTCATGTATTCTCAAGAAAATCAAACAAACTAAGGAAATGTCATTGAGACTTTTCTAAAATAGATCTTGTGGACTGCTTTACATCAGTGACCCACCAGCCCGTCTCTCTTGGGAACTGCAAAACTTCATGTTGATCTGTTTGTGAGAACTTTAACAGAAGATTCTGCTCTGCTAAAAAGGCCTATCCTAAAATCATGAAGGAGACACCCATTATTTATTAAAGGCCTATGTTTGGCAAGTGATAAATAATTTCATGTAACTTCTACTAAAACAGTTTTTTAACTCAAGAACCAATTTGTGATTTCAACAGGACATCAGTGAATGGACTGACAAGGCAAGTCCACCATGGGGCATAATGGAGGGCCAGTCTCTTGGCCTAACAACATGCAACCAACCTCTTCCCTGAAAGATGAAGGTGGGATGCACTTGTGGCAGAAGAACAAGGCCCCATTTAAAAAATCATTAGCTATGGATTAACAAATATTTAATCAAACATGTTATGAGGGACAAAATACTACACACAACATGGAATTTAGGTTAATAAGTTACCTGCTCCAGTCTCCAACCAACTGGATCCTCTCCACATCTTTGCCAGCCTCTTACGTAGCCTCTGCTTGACAGAGGCTATTACCTGAAGCAACCTGTCCCATAGTGAACCAACTTTTTGAGAACTGTCTCCCTGACATGGAACCCAAATCTGTGTCCCTACAGCCTCATTCAGTGGGCCTCATTCCACCCCTCTGAACCACAGAGCATCTTGCTCTAATGCACTAATTATAGTCCCCTTTTTTTCCTAACCAAAATCTCCCCAAATCCTTCAAATATTCTTTAAATGTCTTGCATTTAAAATTTCTTCAGGGGAGGGGAGTGGCGAAAAAAAAAAATAAAAATAAAATTCTTTCAGCGGGCTGGTAATGCCTCAATTCATTTTTAATTTCAAAGTGTGGCTTCTGGAAATGACAATAACATTCCAACGTAATGGGACTAAGGAGAGGAAATGAAATGCTATCTCCCTTACTCTAACATTGCTATATTAATGTGTTTTGAAGGGATGATAATTTCTTAGTTCAGTATGAAAAAATTACCAGTGTAAAGAATGTAAAGGAAGGCATCTTTCCTTCCAAACACAAATAGGCTCATGTCACAGAAATGAAATCCAAAAAGAAAGTAAAGAAAACATATCCCAAAATTAGTATTTAACCATACTGCTTAAATGGAACACATTTGACTGAAGGATGAGAAGCAAATGTTGTTTTACGGCTTTTAATTCTTTAGCTAAGTCTCAAAAGCATCATAGTATAAACATGTCAGGACCATGGTTGAGAAAAGTAACCAGTTGCAGTTAAAACAACAACAAAATTCTAGAAAAAAAGGAATGGCAAACCCTAGACGATCTCTCCCAGAGACTAATAGAGCAATGATCCCTAAATACTCATTACCATGAAATACAGGGTTCTACAGGATTAAGAAATTAAAAAAAAAAAAAATTAGATTTTTGCCTAAATGACAGGTAATAAAGCTAAACTTAGGAACATTTCCTCACAGTTCAAAAAGTTCTGCCCACTTTGATTAACTTGTTTTCTGAGTACCATTAGTTGCTGGCTTAGTGGAGAAGGCCATTGGTTTGCTATGCAAAAAAAAAAAAAAAAAAAGAAACACTTTTTTCTGATTATGATATTTCATTCATGTGGCTTGGTTTAAAGGGAGATGTTTCACTTTAGTAGGAAGACCAATTCAAAACCATTTACAACTGATATTTACTCAGTATGAGTCATGACCTGAAACTTGTGTGAGATCTGGTAGAATTACAGGCTAGCTTAGAGGGTAATATGGCAAATCATTGGCATAACTCTGTCACCAGTGTCCTCCCAAGGTATATATATTCATGAATGAAAGAAGTTAAGAACCCAGTCCTTTGTTAAATGTGGTGTCTCTGGCCAACAAGTCTAAATGGCTTAAAGTAAATAATCTTGATCCAAAAATCTTATTTTGGTCAATGATTTCTACCCTCCTTATAAACTCTAAATAAGAACAGACACATTGTCAAATCAATCTATTTAACTTTCATTTTAGTTTTCTTGCCACTTTACTCAGGGAGAGATAAAAACATGAAATGATTAAAAGACTGGGAACAAGAAAGGCCAGGAAGATCCCACAGCCTAATGTTAGTAATCCACTAAAAAGTAATTGGCCATGCAAATTCAAAAAATATTAATATAATTCAACAGATTTAATAAAAGCATACAATGGGAGAAAAAGCCTTCTATGGGCAAAGAAGCACAAAATCCTTTGAGGATATAGTCTACACAAAGCCATAATGAAATATCATTATCAGCAAATTTTTATTTCATAGATTTCCCCAAGCCTGATTCCATGACATGAGTATCATGCATTTTTCATTGGAAACTGAAAAAAGTTTTGCCATATATTTAATAACTTTATTGAAAGAAGAAAAAGATCACACCAAAAATGGAGGAATACACGAACCCTGGTAGTCTTAGCAGACCAAAGCCGAATTAAACTATGATAAAGCAATTTCTCTTTTTTCATCCACCACTAAATGAGAATTCATTTTTATCTAAAGACTCATCTTAGCAAATACTGCCATGGCAATAAGACTGTTAGGCAAACCAATAAATTTAGGTCCTGGCCTGGATTAAGATGACTGTAATTAGTGTCCTTTATTAAGTTCTACTTAAAGGGATTTCTGTTTAGTCAAAAAAAGCCTCCCCCTGATCTTGGCACTTAAATATTTATTCGACTAATATTTATTGCACCTACAATATTGTCAGGGATTGTTTTCAAACTTGAGATATATTAGTAGACAAGCATCCATAAGGCCTAATCTGGAATTCACACAACTAAGAAAAAAAGAAACAAAGTCCCACATTCTCATGTGTTTCTGCTGATGGGCCATGGATGGTAAGTTATAGAAAGGCTGGGAGGAGCAACAGGGAAGAAAGAGGCCAAGACCTCACAGCTTTTTAATCCCATTCTCAGTCTGGCCATGGATATACAGAGAAGACTAACCCCTAATGAATAACATAAGTGTGGCCCTAAAAGGTGTTATTCTGCAATTAAATCAGTCCAATCTAACACAGCCACTTCCTCCAAGTTCACAAAGCAACTTTATTTTCAGCACTTGCTACTGTGAGACAAAGTTGGGTCATAATGTGCTGGGTGCACTGGATTTTTGCCCTAAATGACAGGTAATGAATCTAAACTTAGGAACATTTCCTTACAGTTTAAAAAAGTTATTTTACCCACCTGGATTAACTTGATTTCTGAATACCTTTAGTTGCTGGCTTAGTGGAGAGGATGGGGAGGGAAAGGCAACGATTATTATAAATTATTTTGGTTTTATTAAAATGACTTTCCTTTCCTGCAGATACTGATTCTAAAAGAAAAACAAACTTCTGGGATCCCTTTCTCTTTCCCACAGGATCAGGAAAACACAGTGAGGCCAATCAAAAGTTATCAGTCCCTTAAAAAATATGCATAATCCCATGTGCAAGAGACTGGTCAATCTGGAATCTGCTAGAGAAATGCTAGAAATGCTTTATGAACATCATGTTTCTACATGACTCATTTCTTTACAATTAAATAGCTTTCAAACATCAACATATCAGGACTGAGATTGTCACCATCTACAGCAACAGTGGAATTACACATCATATCCTTATTCCATTACTCATCCCTCAGTTATGCTAAGCAGCAAGCTACAGAAACATCTGACAGCATCAACAGCATACAGGCTTAATTATTTTCCCAATTTGCATTTATATCAGTGAACAAATTGGAAGCTATCAAAGTATGGCACTGAAGAAACAGAAACATATATTCAGCAGCACATCTTCCATTTTGAGTCCTGTTTTAAAATTGGCTAAGTAAAGGCATATACACCTCCATTTGAATTGGAGATTCGCAGTAACACATGCATATATGGGTGGGAGGGAAGGAAAAAGGGAGGGAGGGAGGGAAGGAGGGAAGAAGAAAAGGAGAGACCAGAAAAACAGAGGAAAAGAGAAAGAAAAAAGGAAGAACGTATGGTTAAGCATCTGAGGGTAACATTATTACAAGAAGGAGGGGAAAAAATGATAGTTCGATCTGCTTCCACAAGCAGAATTTTTCTCAGGTTATCATCAAAGATATAAAAATGGGTCGTGAGACTTTTCATCTGTTGCTATTCTCACTTATCATACTAAAAAAATCTACAAAATCCTAAGCCTTGGTCTGTCCAAGATGGAGAGTACCAGGAAGTAAAAGATGTGACCTACTATCAAGGACTGTGCTCTGCTTGGAGCCCTGCACTACAGTCCCTTAATCCACAGTATTTTGGTCATATCTGGTCTGTTTCCTCATACTACTCAAAATGTCTTAGAGCTAAGCTTTTATATTAGAATATCATCAAAAACATTTATTTATTTATTTATTTTTCAGTTTGCAAACTTTTTCATTTACTTAAAGGGCTGGAGAGACAAGAGAACAGAATGGTAGAGATTCAGAGGGGAACATAAAAGGAAAAGTATTCTCTTTTCCCAAAAATCCACCTTTAAAAAGGTAGTAATGAGACTTTGAGAAAGAGTGCTGATTCATGGTCTTCCCCCATTTTTTTATTTCTATATAATACATTTAAGGACATCAATGTACTAAAACGTTTGGTCTGTGAAATAGCAGAATCATTAGCACCAAAAGGAGTCATGGAGCTTGTATATATTACTAAAACAATGATTGTTACTGTTGGTCATGGGTAAAGGTTTCATTTCATTTTTACATCCCAAAGTTCTTGAAAGTGCCTGTGGACAAGAGAAATAACACTTTGCAAAATCTCCATGGGGTCATCAAGACGTACCACAGAGACTGTACTTGGCCGTCCCAGTTTTGGTTTATCTGGTAGACAAGAAAACCAGGGCCCCCAGAAGATTACCACCGAAGCCCTAAAGAACAGCTCCCACATGCACCCACTGATGTGCAGGAGGGATCCCTACAGTACATTTCCCCCTGGACTCTGTTCGGGAATGCGCTTTTACTTGCTTTTTAAAAAAACAAAAGCAACATGCTCTGCAGATCATGGAGTGCCTAGTGCAATTTTCTCCTTGCTCCAACTCCAGACTGCAAAAGGGTGAAACCATTATATGTTCTGCTAATGCTGGCCTGTGGTCGAGGCCCTTGGCCTGCCATGCTTTTTGTAAGCTCAGGAGCCCACAGGAGTCAGAAGGTCTGAGAGCGGGAGCCACAGTCATCGCCAGATCTCCCCAGCATCTCGTGGCCCATCAGGGCAGTCGCTGATTCCTTTTGCTTCTCTATGCCTCAGCCTTTAGTTGAAATTACAACAAGTCAAATAGCTGATGCTTTTCCCTTCTCCAGGTAAGGGTGAGGATACATTGTTCACAAGTGTGTTCTGTCTGGCTTCACTGATGAGTCGGCATGCTAAGTCAAGGAAGAGTTTCTCCACATTATCAGATTCCTTGGCTGAGGTCTCCAGATAATACATGTCCTGAGCTTCTGAGAATTCTTCAGCTCGCTGCTGGGAGACCTCTCTCCTTTCAGCCAGATCAATCTTGTTGCCTATAACAGTAGTAAAATCAAATAAAGAATCATCATTTGACTTTGTGCAGGCTAAGAAGCATCAAAATTCAACTCCAGATCTGAAGTCAAACCAGACAGATGGGCGAGTAAAGCAAAGCAAATGTGACTGTGATTACCAAAATATTTACTTTAAAATATGAGTGCCATTCATAATGGCAAGGAACTGGAGACAACCCAAATATCCATCAGTAGGGCACTGACTGAATATACTATGGCCCATCCACAAAACAGAGGACTTGCTGTTGTAAAAATCGATTAGGAGTATTTCTATATAACGCCATGCAAAGGAAACACTGGGATACACTATTAAGCAAAAAAAAAAAAGCAAAGCAGAGAAAAGTATATACAACATGCACTGTCTATCCAAGAAAAACGGAAGGATATGAATACATACATCATATGCATATTTTATTTCTTTATCTTTTAATAGAAGAATAAACCAACATCTTAATTTAAAAGAAAATGGTTACCTAGGAAAGGAACAGGGTTGAGGTGAAAGGAATAGAAACCAGACTTCTCTGAATATACTCTGTTTTGTAGATTTTACTTTAGGAACTTAAAAATGCTTTATTATAATTACACAATTAATTTCAAAATTAAATTTAAAAAGCAATCCCTAAAAACTGAAAGCAAAATTAAACAAATGAACACGTTCATCATATGTGGAATAACCACACAGAGTGTAACCCTTTTTTTCTTTTAACTGAGACAAGGTCTGGCTCTATTGCCCAGGCTGGAGTGCAGTGGTGTGATCTTGACTTGCTGCAAACTCTGCCTCCTGGGCTCAAGCCATCCCCTCCCACCTCAGCCTCCTAAGTAGCTGGGACTACAGACGTGGACTACCACGTCCAGCTAATTTTAGAAATATTTTTTGCAGAGACAGGGTTTCGCCACAGTGTCCAGGCTGGTCTTGAACTTGTGAGCTCATGCAATCCACCTGCCTCGGCCTCCAGAAGTGATGGAATTACAGGCATGTGTCACCAAGCTAGGCCAACAGAGTAATTATTTCAAGGTGTTTGAGATACAGTAATTTAACCGTGCATCCTCAGTGGTATACAGCCTAAGGACAAAAAGAATTGAAGGCAAAATCTTGAACTGTTTAGGTAATCATCTTGTTGGTGGTACTGTTGGTATTATTATTCTGAGGTTGCTATCTGTATATTACGGGATAAAGCAAATGAGTAATTATGCTGGTATCATTAGGATCATGGGACTTTTGGCATAGGAAAAAGGAAATATAAGATTAATGAGGTTAAGTAAAATTTCTGCAGTCCTGAATTATAAATAGAAGTATCAGTATGAATAATTCATGATGTATTTTATCTTTAAAAAGTTTTCTACCTACCTTTATTCTCCAGGAAACTTGACAAAGATGTGTCAATTTTATTACCTGGCAACGCTGCTTATGGTAAAAATGACACCTCATTGATAAATTACTTCTGGCCTCGGAATTCTATCTATGAATTTGTAAATACCTAATGGAAAGCCATAACTTTGGGCTTCCCTGAATGTGGTGACTTCCCTGGAAGAGACTCTGAGAGTTATGATTGTGGAGTTATAATAAATATAGGCTCCTATGGGGTATTTAGGCTGCTAGGCCAAGGCAGATCTTCCATTTGTTTGACATGAGCCTTGTTCCCTCACACTAGAATTGTCTGGGGGTTGGGGACTGGGTAGGAGGTCCTGGAAAGGTACATGGACTGCTGCTAGGATTACTTCCACTGACGAGGGATGCCAGATGCTGATCTGCTGTTAAGCTGTGCTTCCTGTCCTGTGTCCTTGTAAGTGAACATGATGTCGCGTGTGGTCTATAGCAGTCTTGTGAGTCAGAATGCTAGCAGAACCTCATAGGACAACCCTCTTGTGGATACTATAGAATACATCACACACATGTGCACATACACACAAGCTCTGTCCACTGAAAGAAAACAATGGCCAACCTGCTACAGGAGGACTCCTAACACCAAGGTTGTGGCCTCTAAATATGACTTCCCATTGAAAAGAAAGCACTTCTTGAAGAAAGGGCTAATTTAAGGTCTGGGGTAAGAAATGCACAAGATGTGGCTGGAACACTTGCCATACCAGAAAACAAAAAAATTATCCAACATTCCTGTGGTCATGCCAAAAACGACTCAGGAGCCCATTTGAAGAAGCTCCCACTGTCAAAGTTGGAACAATGGCTGCATCAATTATAATAAGTGCAAGGGACTGAAATACATCAAATTAATTTATTTATTTATTTATTTATTGGGGCAGAGTCTTGCTCTGTCGCCAGGCTAGAGTGCAGTGGCATGACCTCAGCCGACTGCAAGCTCCACCTCCCGGGTTCAAGAGATTCTCCTGCCTCAGCCTCCCCAGTAGCTGGGATTATAGGCATATACCACCATGCCCAGCTAATTTTTTGTATATTTTAGTAGAGATGGGGTTTAACCATATTGCCCAGGCTGGTCTCAAACTCCTGACCTCAAATGATCCACCTACATTCGCCTCCTAAAGTGCTGGAAATTACAAGGGTGAGCCACCTCACCCGGCCCATTAAATTTATTTAAATCTATAAATGTATAATAATATTGCAAATATGAACAGATGTCAACAGTTAGAAGATACTGGAGAACCAACTTGCTATCTTGAAAAGTGGTGAATAAAAAGAAAGAATCAAGCATTCTTCTTGCCTGTCCTATGAGAAGTATACCTCAGAGTATGATGTATGTAGTGTTTTATCTAAAAAGAAAACCAAAGAAACCCTGACTCTCATCAGGCCTCTAGACTTATCTACAAATCTGCAAGAAATGGAGGTGATGGAGGTGATGTCAAATGATACCTCAGGGGTGATAAAACAAAATTTAGACTTGTAAAGCCTATAGGACAAACAATGCATTAGCAATAAATTCTAAGGGAGAAAAAAAATGGGAGTGGAACTTTCAGAAAAAAGGATGAAAAGACATAGCCATCAATTACAGCATATGGACCTTAGTTGGCATTCTTTCTTTTTTTTTTTTTTTTTTTGAGACAGAGTCTGGTTTTGTCACCCAGGCCTGAATGCAGTGGTACAATCATAGCTCACTGCAGCCTTCAACTTCTGGGGTCACATGATCCTCCTGCCTCAGCTTCCTGAGTAGTTGGGACCACAGGTGTATACCACCATGCCTGGCTAATCTCACTATGTTGCCCAGGCTGGTCTGAACTGCTAGGCTCAAGCAATCCTCCTGTCTCAGTTTCCCAAAGCACTGAAATTACAGGTGTGAGCCATCATGCCTGGCTTCTGGGCCTTATTTGGATCTTGATTTGAACAAACAAAAAAAATTCATGAGTCAATCAGGGAAATCTGAATACTAAGTTTTTAAGGCTACTAAGAAATTGTAAAGATATTTTAGGTGTAAAAATGGCATTGAGGTTAGGTTTTCTTTTTAAAAATCTATTAGAGATACACACAGATATTGAAACATGAATTAATACAACATCTGAGATTTGCTTAAAAATAATCTGAGGGAGAAGGTGGACAGCATTTTTAAGGAAGAGATAAAATAAGATTGGTCATGGGTTGGTAACTGTGGAAGCTGGGAGATGTGTAGAAGGGAATTTACTATACTTTTGTGTATGTTTGAAATTTTCCATAGTAAAACTTTTTTAAAGCCAATTCCTCTTTCAAATTGAACTAATTATCTCCCCTCAAATCTTCACTTAACTTCCTTAGATAAAATCCCAAGTAGTAACACTTTGACTCAAGTTCCCAAAGGCTTTCTGTAAAATAGAAAGTACAAATGCAGACCTCTCAAATGCTCCATGGCAAAGGTTCACCACTGTACAAGAGGCATTTACAGGGAGCACTAGCTCATAGAAACGCAGATGCTTCACCCAGCAGCCTGAAGGAGAAGTCCAGCAATTTGTTACAACATAACCTATTACAGCTGGACAGCTACAGGGCTTGGAGTTGATCTTACATGCTGTGCGACCTTGGGAAAAGAACTTCACCTCTTTGAGTCGTGGTCCCTTATCTGTAAATTAGGGATCACAACACAGAAAGTTCCTAGTATCATTCCTGACACATATATACCAATTATAACACTAAAGTCTTTACTGAGCTTATTATTGTTAACCATAATTTGTAACTTAACAATGCTTCTAAGGCTCTCTACTCAAATTTCCAAAATTCAGGTATTGCTAGACTATATAGCAACGTCCCAGTCTAGGAAGAAAATGTGTTAACAATCAAATGGTTACTAATATTTTTCACTACAAATAGAGAAGTGTTTAATGATCTGGTCCATTTCAATGCGTATATCTGTCACCATAGAAAATCTATGGTTGTTTTATGCTTTCCCTCATACTAAATAGAGATTTTATTCTCCTACAAGATGAAATAAACCACAGCATTTCCCTTACTGGATTCTTTGTGAAACATAGAATTTCTCAAATCAGCCTAAATGTTAGGAAGGCTAAATGTTAGGAGGGAAGAATAACTAAAATCCATTTTTTAGGCAATAAACAATTGCTTCAATAATGAATTCCTTATCAACTTAAAAGATAGTTTTCTTCTAGAACAGCCCTTTCTGTCATCTTGTAATTAGACTTTTAAAATTTTTAGCAGCTCACATAACTTTCATGGCCATCCAACTTCTTCCCTAGAGCCTACATTGATAGAAAAATCAATCAGCAATGTTTTCTACTTTATTTTTCTAAACCGTCACCATGGGAAAGGACCTATTTCATTTTCAATTACAGAAGAACTGAAGGTTGACTGCATGATTAGCTATGGACTATATTCTTGGAAGGTACCAACGTATGAGCTTTACGTGATTATAAATCCTCTGATGCCCACAAATCAATTTCCCTCCTCTTTAGCCCTTACTTACCCACTAACACAGTGATGACCTTGTTGCTGGCATATTGTTCTATCTCCCGCAGCCACTCAGGAAGGCAACGGAAGGATTCCTCACAGGTAATGTCATAGGTGAGGATCAAGGCATTGGCGCTTCGGTAATAACTCTGGGTAATGGACCGAAATCTCTCTTGACCTGCTGTGTCCCAGATCTGTAGCTATAAAGGCATAAGAGAAGAATCAGGTAGAAAAGGATCAGGTTGGAGAAAAAAAGAAAAAAAAAGCTTTGCCTTGTTTTAGTTTGGAAATGGGAACACCTTTACCCAAATAATTTCATGGTTATTTTCTACCCTAAAATTAAAAAAAAATTTTTAAAGCACTTAAAAAAAAAGAATTGTTGGGTGTGTTTCTGGTTAGGGAAAGGGGCTTATTTTGTTTTGTTTTGTTTTTTCTTTGCTAAGAGTTTCCCTTTTATTCTTAAAAAAAAAAAAAAAAAACATAAAATTCATCAAGCCTTTATTATGTGCCAAGCTCTATTCTAAGCATTTTACCTGTGGTAACTCACTTATTCCTTAAAATAACCCTATGAGGTGGATACTGTTACAATACCCATTTCTTGCATGAAGAAACTGAGGCACAGTGAGATTAATTAACTTCTTCAGCATCTCATAACCAGTATGTCCCAGAACCAATTCAACCAGGCATTGTGGTCCCAGAGTCCACGTTCTTAACCACAATGCCTTATTACAAAAGGCACGATACAGGGCAAGCTGTTATCCTGTGACTGTTGGCATTTAGTTAGCAACTGGAGGGAGATCCAGCCTCATCACTTTTCCAGTTCAAAATTCCAATGAATGTATTAAAATATTATCTTTGTTAAAGAAAACAGGAATACTGCCATGGCAGACAATATAATTTCCCTTCAGGTCTCTTAAGCTCTATGACCTTGGCCAAGTCACTTAATCTCTTTGGGCTTTAATAATTTCTTTACAAAAAGTGGTTACTAACACACAACCTGCTAAAGGTTCACTTTTTCTGCAGTTGTCTACCAGTTCTAAGCCCTAATAACTAATAATTCTAATAACAAAAAAGACAATACTTCTTAATTCTCCCTGAATTTTCTGCACAGAGTAGACAACTACTGAAACAGCTATTCTCCTGAGAGGCTGCTAAGTGTAGCAAATCACAGGGTCTCGAAAAATAAGAACATCAACGAAAATAATACACTTTCCTTCTAATTGTATACATTTTGCAGGTCTCAGGTGTATTCATGTTCAGGGACATAAGACTGCTTCCTCAGGAAGGCATTCCAGAACCTTCAGATTAGGCTAGGTTCCCCACCCCCCATTCCACACAGTCTTTCTTGCAATACATCCTGTCATTGTCCCTCATGGCACCTGACACGCCTGAATCATTTATTTGTAAAATTTGTAATAATTTGTTTAATAGCTGTCTTTCCCACTAGACTGAAAGCTTCACGAGGGAGATGTCAGGGTCCATTTTACTCATCAAACAGAGCACCTGACAAACAGGAGGTGATCAGATATTTATTGGCAGTCTCATTTAATCTTTACAACAACCCAGTGAGGTAGGCAAGTATACACCTCCCCGTGTTAATGGAAACTCTGGTTCCTAACTAACTGGTTACTCACAAAACTAGGACTTGGCATCCAGGCCTTCTATTTCCAGTTGAGGACTCATTCCATGCTCCCACGCTGCCGTTGCCACCAAAGACTAATTTAAATGTGCATCTGTATCCAAAGAGGATGGAATCTGTTGGTGTCACCCTCTGCTCATAACAGCTTGGCTAAAGAGACTGCTGAGTGACCCGTAGTCCCTGCCATGAATCAGCAGCACACAAAGGCTCTCCTTGATCTGAAGTTGCAGCTGGTCTTTGATGATATACATGAAAGCCTGTGTATGCTAAAGGCCACCATAAAGATGTTATGGTTTTTGCTGGGACAAAGGCGATTTCTCTTCTCTGCCTCAAACCTAGGGACGTGGTTCCTCTCTGCCAGGTTGTGTCTTAGAATAACAGACTATTGTTTGAAAGCTGCACTGAGCCCCTAAAACACTTGCGATTGCAATTTAGGTACTGTTCGGCATTAGAAATCAGTGTGTTCTCACATCTTGAGAACAACTTTGAGGGTTAAAGCCACTGAAATATTTTCTAGAAAAGTGATTGTGTGACCATGACAAGATATGTTACCTTCTCATGGGGGATGCTGTTTCTACCTAACAGTTGATTATTGAGGATATTCATATTCTACTGCCTTTGTTACTCAGCTTGGTTTGGCCATTCTCTGCAATTCATTTGCGCGTTTCAGCATGTATAGGACATTAATATATGCAAGGCACTGTGCTAGGCACAGGGAGTATAAAAAGATGAATAAAACACAGGGAGGATATAAAGATGAATAAAATCATCCCTGATTTCAAAAAGCTCACAGTCTACAGGAAGGAAACACACAGTTAATTAACTATAGTAGAATATAAGACGTTCTATTAAAAAGGAAGAAAGTGTCCCCTGCTGTTAGTCTCATGCCTGTCAATGTTTTCAATACTGCAGCCGTGGGCTTTCTAACCACTCTCGCCTCTAGCTTGGGGCTACATTGCTTGTCCACTCTCTTCTTCGCACCACTACTTAACCTCCATTGCCTCACTGTCACATGTATTGCAATCATTGGCTTACTACTCTACTACTGAGTTCTTTGAGAGCAAAGGCTGTCTTCTATTTGACCTTATACCCCCAGTACCTTCCTAGCGGAGTACATAGTATGGGGTAGAAACAGTTGAACGACGGCTAACGAAATGAACAAAGGATTGTGGAATCACAAGGGAGGAATTGATCAATTTTGCTCAACAGATTAGTAGGGTATTAAAGGAGATTTCACAGATGGAGCTAGATGTTAGTAAGTTCCTAAGGGGCAGTGATGCTTTACTACCACAGCGCTTGGCACAAAACATTTACTACAATACAGGATGGAAGAATGAATGGATGTACAGATGATTGAAGAAACAAATATATACTTTCCTGACTCCTAACTATGAACATAGATCTGACTGGAGAGAGAGACAACAAATCTTCTATTTCTATTATGATTAACATCCTAAGGTTAAAATGGTTTAAACTGAGTTTAGAGTTTTGCTTATTACTCTAGACCAAGGCAGGAGGATTACTTGAGCCCAGGAGTGATCAGCATGGCAACATAGTGAGACCCCATCTCTACAAAAAATAAAAAAAAATAGCTGAGTGTGGTGGCATACACCTGTAGTCCCAGCTACTTGGGAGGCTGAGGTGAGAGGATCAATTGAGCCTAGGAGGTCAAAGCTGCAGTGCTGTGATTGCACCACTGCACTCAAGCCTAGGCAAGAGAGCAAGACTCTGTCTCCAAAAAAAAAAAAAAAAAAAAAAGGATGACAATAAGACAACTGTGCAGTTTTTCCCTTTTCTAAGAAAGGATTAAATAAGTTATTCCTCATATGCCTAAATGTTAATGAAGCCCTTAAATCAATGTGGTTGAAGAGGGCCATTCTGTAGCTTTATTTTATATACTGGGCTTGAAAGAATCACAGGCAAGTGGATTTCGACTGGATTTGGGAGATGAGCCAACTGTCACTTTTTTTTTTTTTTTTTTTTTTTTTGGGAGGGGGTTTCGCTCTTTTT